TGATCGCGATCGTCCCGTTTTGATGGGCCATCTGGCCAGAGCATCGCTGCAGAGGGGCGAGGATGAGATGGTGGCATGAAAGTCGAGTCGTCAGGAGGCTGCCCCCGCGGGGGGAGCCATGGTCTCTCGCTTCGTCCCCGGCGCGGCGTGCGCGCGGAGCTGGGGCACAGGTGTCGGCAGACCTGGGCAGCCCCGTTGGGGCAGAAGCCCCTCGCACACCTCTTGCAAGTCACGCAGAGCCCAGCGGCGGAGCTGGGGACCGAAGCTCAAACAGACGCACGCACGCACGAACAAACACACACGCACACACATATAAACACACGCGCGCACACGCACATACGCACACACACACACATGTAGCCACGCACAAACGCACACACGCACGCAAACATACGCGCGCGCGAGTACACACACACACACACACACACACACACACATGCGCACGAACAAGCATACGCACGCGCGAACACGCATACGCACTCGCACCCGCACACGCACGATCACACGCACACACACACACACACACACACGTACATACACGCACATACGCGCGCGCACACGCACACACACACACTCACACATGCACACACAAACACACACACACGCGCACACACGCACATGCATACCCACGCGCACACGCACCCGCACACGCACGAGCGCACACATACACACACGGACGCGCACGCTCCCACCACACCACACCACACTACGCTGCGTGGAGTAGCTGGAGAGAGGCTGAAGTATCACATTGAAAAGTTCCCTGGAGGTTGAATGGAATGACGGGTGGGGAGCATATGGTGTACCTCCGCTGGTGGTTGTAGGCTCATGGTGCCCACCTTTGGTTTTAGAGGGGCCTATGGTGCCCCTCTGCGCCCACCCCGTCCCGTCCACAGGGACTTCGCACCCCCTCCTATGGCGTCGCACGTGCTACGCCATGGGTGGTGTGCATTTTTGCACGGATCGGTATTGAGTCCCTCCCTCCCGTTTTTTTCCGTGGGTGCAAGAGCCCGTAAGGGAGCCCCTCAAGGAAGACCCCCCCCCGGGAATGTCGAGATAAGTTCAGCAACCGCAGGGGGTTCACAGGTGACAGCTATTGCCCGCTGCATGTGGCTTTGCGCCACTGCTTGGGAGAACGCGATACATTCCTGCTAAGTCTATTTGGGTGTGGAGGGGGCTGGCCGAGTCAGCACCCACGGTGGCGCATCGAGACCAGGACACCAGACCCCACTGCAAATATGCGACATCTGCCATACGCCGTCCAAGATGCCACGAGTTTTCGCCCAGGCGCCCCACGGCTCGTAGCGGCACGCTCGTCGCAAACGTCGTCGTCACCATTCGAAACGAGAGAGAGAGAGAGAACAAAAAGAACAGAGAGAGAGAGAGGAGAGGGAACCAGGATAGGGGGGAGAGGGTGGGGAGGGAGGGGAGAGGGGGGGGGGAAAGAGGGCCCCCGCGGACGTGGCGCCCATGTCACAGAACGGCGTGGTGGATGCCATGGAAAAGTCAGGCCTGATAGAGAGGAGGACCGATTGGACGGCGAATATGCGCATCCAGTCCAAAATTGGAGCAGCATGGTGCTGCTCCAGAGTGCGGCGGACCAATGCCATGGAGGATAGGAGGCCGAACCGGACAGCAGGGGAGCACGATACACAAGGCATCCCGTCATCTTGCAGATCCCAAGCCCCACCACCTTTGTCGTCCTTTTGGGCCCGCATACGGGCCCGTAGTCAATGGTCGTGGTCGGGGGCGCGCGCCTTGATGGCGGCAAGTACTTGAGCGATATCGCCGATCTTCGACTCGTCAAACTTCAAAACCAAAATTATCGACCTTCTCTTGGTACCGCCCTTGCTCTTCTGGCCGGCGACTGCGTCCACAGCTTTGCGGTCGCCCTGGAACCTGGGTTGCAATGCTGGGGCGTCGCCCTCGCAATGGATATTCTCGTCCACGGCCCCTTCGATGGACTTCAGGCCCCTGGACTGGCGCAGGCGGTGAGTGTGGAGTGCCTGAAAACCCTCGAGCGTGAATTTGAGGGCCTGGCTGCTGTCGGCAGCGACACTCGCGCGGGGGCCGCCGTGCGGGGACCGGCGGGGGAGAGAGGGGAGAGAGAGAGAGGGCAAAGGGGGGACCACACTGCCGAGCCGAAGCAGCAAGCGGGGCGCGGCGGGGACGGCGGCAACGGCAGCCAGCCAGGAAGGAGGACACAGACATCGCAGGGAACTTGGGCCGACCAGGTGGTCAAGGGGACACGCGCACGCACACACACACACACACACACTCACACACACACACAACACACGCACACGCACACGCACACGCACACGCACACGCACACGCACACGCACACGCACACGCACACGCACACGCACACGCACACGCACACGCACACGCACACGCACACGCACACGCACACGCACACGCACACGCACACGCACACACACACACACCACACACACACACACACACACACGCACACGCACACGCACACGCACACGCACACGCACACACGCACACGCACACGCACGCGCACGCACACGCACACGCACACTCACACGCACACGCACACGCACACGCGCACACACGCACACACCCACACACCCACACACCCACACGCACACACACACACACACTGGCGACGCGCCAGCGCGTCGGGCGCCTTCGCGGCCGGAGCCGCGCGCCCACGCCGTGTCCGCGGGGAGAGCGAAGAGGGAAGGCCGGGCAGTGCAGGGAGGCACGGGGCGCCGCGCCAAAGTTGGGCGGGCAGGGCGCAGCCCGCAATGGAGCTGGGGGAGAGGGCGCCACGCCGAAGGAGCGTGCTGCAGAGGCCGTGCCGCGGGGGGGTGGGGAGAGAACGGCAGGGGAGAAATGTTCTCAGGGCATTTCTGGCGGAGTCTGTCCTGTTTTGTCACATCGGGTTTCTGTTCTAAGAGCACAGTCTTTGTCCTTGGAGCACTTTTGGGTTCTATAGGAACATGTCGTGGTAGGACTACAGGAATGCCGGGACGGTCGGTCCCTGCTCAAAGAAGGGGACGGCGACGACGGGAGAAGAGAGGGACGAGGAGGGCGAGGGGGCACGCTCGCAGCATCTGGCATCCCAGAAGCGGCAGTTGCATGCCACACCTGGCGGGCAGTGGAAAGAAGACAGGAGGAGAAAGCGGGACGGCCCTCACCCAGGCGGGGCCCTGACCACTCCGAGCCGCGGCTTCAGCGAACGACACGCCACCAAGGCAGTGCTGCCCCACACAGCCTCTGTGGGACGCGAGACAGCTCACCCCAACCCACGCCGGGGCGAGGGACCCTGACCGCGGGAAGAACGGGCGGGGGAACCCAGTGAGCCGCCCGCAGGCGACCCGCTCACCCCCACGCGCGCCAGGGCGGGGGAGCCTGGCTGTGTGGAGGAGGGGTGGACAAGCACAACTCGCGAGGAGAGGGGATTAGGCCCCAGGAGGAGAAGGAGGGCGGAGAGGATAAAGAAAGGGAAGGCAGTCAACATCCCGCCTGGCGGCAAGAGAGGAGGAGGCAACAGCCACACGCCCTGCCGGGCGTCCAGAACACGGGAGGGGATGCGGCACGGAGAGGAGGGGACGACGACGAAGGGAGAAGAGAGGTACGAGGAAGACGAAGGGAGAGTTTTCGCAGCATCTGACATCCTGCCCAAGAGCCCAGACCCCCTCGCGCTGTGAAAAATCACGACGGGACACTTTTTGGTATTTTCGGCTTCCGGGGGCCCTTATGGGGCCTCGGGAGCATCCAAAAAGGAATCAGGATGAAACGCCGGTCCCGGCGAAGGGCTCCGGACCTCTGGGAGTCGACGCTGTGCAACGAAAATCACGACGTCGGGGGTCTGGGCAGCGGCGGACCTGCGGACAGGCCACCGCATCAACTTGCCCAGACGTCCAGCTGCTCCAACTTTCTCAAGGCGTGGGCCCCAGAGGTCTGGACCTCTTCCTGTGGGGGCCGGGCCTCCGTCCTGACGCGTCGTCGACGGTCCCGAGGCCCAGCGAGGGCCCCCGGAGGTCGAAAGCAGCAAAAAGGTCACCCGCTCCAGTCCCTGCTGGAGCGTCGGAGTCTCCGACCGCGCAGCGTGGCGGCGGAGAGAGGCGGGCAAGGGGACGCGCGGCCGGCCCAGGTCACGCGGCGTGGAGGTACGGGATCAGCCCAGGAGGGATCGACGGCATCACTCGCGGGGGGGCCGACGCGAACGGAGCAGCGATGAGGGGGGTGAGCGGGAGGGCGGGACGACGAGGGTCAGAGCAGCGCGCAGTGCATCCGACAAGGACGGGGGGCAGCGGCGACCCGCAGCGGCGGGGCGGAAAAGGCGAGGCGGCACTCTGTGTCCCTCAATTAGGCAGACGAGGGCCCTGCACCCATACGCGCACAACACGAGGAGAGGGCACGAGGCTGGGTGCGCTCGATGTGCCAGGCGGGTCGAAGCCAGGCGCCGCGAGGGCGTCCTCCCAGGGACGAAGCGGGCCCAGGGGGCCCTCCATCGGGATTGACGAGACGCCGTCGGCGACTCGCGCGCACCAGGAGGTGGGCGAGGAGGGCGAAGAGGGCAAGGAGCCAGACGCATTTTGAAGCCTGGTGCCTCCAGAGGAGCGAGTGGTGATCGTCGCCAAGGGGCCGAGTCCGCGTCGAGATCCTGGTCGGAGTGTGCTCGGGTACAGGACTCGCGGTGGGTTTGAACGGAGGAGGAGGAGGAGGAGGAGGAGGAGGAGGAGGAGGAGGAGGAGGAGGAGGAGGAGGAGGAGGAGGAGGAGGCGCGCGCAGCACGATGTCATAGGCATGTGCCGTGCTTGAGATAGCAGGAGCGGCACCCAGAATGTGTCCCGCCTCCAGACACGGAGGCCCAGAGCAGCAGCGTGATGAGGTGAAGCTGGGTCGCACGCAGGGTGGTTCTTCGAGTATCTGCTGGGTACTCCGCCCCCCCTCCGCCCCTCCGCCGCATGAGTGGACTGGCCAAACGCGGGCCGACCATTAGCGCATATACATAGGTATCTCTGTCTATGGCTAGGGTGCGTCCGTCCAAGCAGTTGGACGCAGCTGGCCTTCAGCATTCGCATGTTTACTTGAGGCTGATTTGGCTTGCGCTCCCCAGGATAGGCGCTCAAGTGCAGTTAGTTTTGTAGACGCTGGATTGACTGCGGTTGCGCGTGACCTCGAAGCATCGCCCTGCTCACGACGCTTGGCTACGTATGATGCTGGTGCACGGGGCACCTGCACAGTGCCAGTCTCAACGGGATGCTTCTGCCGTTACGGCTGCCATCAAGAATCATGGAGGCGTGAAGCAGTGGAGCGCGGCATTGCATCTTCTCCGAGATGCAATACGCTTCCGCGTGCAAGTGAGTACCATCTTGCACAATGCTGCCATCAGCGCTTTGGGAAAAGGTGGGCAATGGCAGCGGGCGCTGCTCGTGCTGCGCCAGTTCAAGGGAGCGGCGCTTCATCTGGACGTCATCAGCTACAGCGCCGGAGTCAGCGCGTGCGAAAAAGCCGGACAGTGGCAGCAGGCGTTGCTGCTATTGTCCCAGGTGTGGAGCGCTAATCTGGAGCCCGATGTCATCGTCTACAGTGCAGTGGTCAGCGCGTGCGCGAAAGCGGGGCGGTGGCAGCATGCGCTGTCGTTATTGTGTGAGTTGCCGGAGGCGACGTTGGAGCCAGATGCCATCACGCTCTGTTCGGAGGGGGGTCCGTGAAGACAACGGCGGCTCTCCCGCCTTGTCAAAATGTGCGCAGAATGCGTTCCATGATCCCTCCGGGGGTGAATCCTGGCCTGATTTTCGATGCGTGTTTAGCCGTGACGACGAGATGTTTCCAGGAGGCCTAAAAAGGACGGACAATTACACGGTGGGCCGCCGCTGTTGCGGGCAATAGTCATATCTATATCCAGTGCGTCTTGGACTTTTCGCGGAAGGGGTGCCGCAAGGCCGAAGCGCACTGGATTGAACATTGAGCCTCCAGGGGCCAGATTTTTATCCATATCCAGTGCTTCTCGGGGCTCTGGGGAAGGGAGCCCGAGACTCCATCCTGCAGTGGATCTGGACACGAGTCTTGCCCGCAGTTTTCTAGACTAGCCCTCCTCTGACCTGAATCTGGCGGTCACCCTGCGCGGATGCGCCCTTTTCGGCTGGCTTCGAGGCCCTGGAGCCCTCCCAATGTTCCCCGTCGGCGCCCTTCTCAGCGGCGTCGACGTCGGGCGATCTGATTCCCCGCCCGTCACTGTCAGAGGAGGCCGTTGGTCAGAGGAGCAAGAGGTCATGAGAATGATACGTTCCAGGATTCCCTGGGATTCCATGAATTCCCGTATTTCCTAATGTTCTGACCCAGCTGCGCTGCTAGATACTCTGGAACACTTGGAACGCTTCCGGAGCAAGTCTTATTCTGACATCATTCCCGCCCTAGCCACCGTCGGAGGAGGCCGGTGGAGCCAGGCGTCATCGTGCCTTGCCCTGCGCTGCCCCCTCGCGCCCAAAGCTAGCCAGCGGACTGTCCCCTGCGCTGCCCCCTCGCGCCCAAAGTGATGCCCACGGGCGCACGAATGCATGCGGGTCAGGCATCATCGTCGGCTCCGGGAGCTTTTGCTGCCTTGGGATGCGTTCCAGCTGCTGCGCCTCGCCGTGAACGTTCCCGGGGTGCCCAGCTTGTCCCGAACGGCCGCCAGAGATGTCCAGTGATGTCCCGGAAGCCCGGGAGGAGGGGGTCGGCCACACGTACACGTCGGTCGTTGAAATCACGTATTTCTGGACTCCCATGGATCCCAAGCTTTTTCAAGCGTCTTCCTAGTTCAAGAGTTGGGATGCTTTTGCTGTGTTTTGTTATTCTCTGGGAGTGCCTGGACCCAACCTACTTGATCCGCCTTTTCTCCTTCATGTTTTTACAAACAATCCTGTGGTGTTGGGTCCTCGTTTTGCAGAGACGGTCCCCGCGTTCCTCTCCTTCCTTCCTTCCTCCTCCCCCTCCTCCTCCCTTGTCTCTTGAGGCGCGTCTTGAGAAGCTGGAGCAGATCTTTGATCTTGCCCGGGCAGAACCGAAGATTCCTGTCGCGCGTACGGCCGATTGGGGTCGGCCCCTGGACCATTCCATCTTCATCATCAACTGCAAGGAGCCCATCACCATCACGGCCCTCTCGACCGCTCTGGACTCGTGGCTCGCGGCCAGCGGATACACGCTCGGACAGGAATGCATCATTGAAGGCCCTCAGATGGCATGCTCATTCATCCTGCGGTTCACGATTGGAGAAGGTAAAACTCGATTCACATCTGAAGCGCGTGTTCGGCATGCCCATTCCCTCCTGCGTGAAGCTTCCGGTGTGTGGAGGCGGTTCAAGACAACCATGCCTGGCGACAGGGAGGTGTCGATCTAAGTCGGGCTCGACAAGAACAAGCAGGACATCGCACGTGAACGCGCGTGCAAGCAGCTCAAGGCCGGCCTCGCCCAGACCATCGGGCGCCACGTGTTCGTCGACAAGGAGGCGGGTACTTTGCTGGTCAACTGGCAGCCGATTGTGAAGGTGGAGGTGCACCCCAGCGACCCTGTGCGGGTTCGCTGGAACTTGGCGAGTCTCGCCGACCTGCAGATCGAGCGTGCGAGAGTGGCTGCCGCCGCGGATCGTATCTTTTCACGCACGGCGATTACGTGGAGTGGGTAACAGTATCTTTGGTGGTAATTCCGTTGCCTATGCCAGTTGCAACGCAAGAGCACTGTGTCATCACAGGAGTACCGCGCTGTCTCGGAAAATTGCGATGCTCACGCACCTGGCCGGCCTCAACAACGGAACGTCGTACACGGTCATCGCGCTGCAGGAGACTCATGGGGATCATGTTGCAGTTTCTGAGCTCGTCCAGCGAGCTGCCATCCCCCATAAGGTTTTTGCTTCTCCTCCCCCGCACCACCCTTTTAAAGGTGGAGTTGCCACCCTCGTCCCTCCTGCTCCCAACTTGTCTGTCCAAGCTGAAGAAATTATCCTTGGGCGCGTTCTGCTTGCCACGATCTGGAGTACTATGTCCAAGTTTTGTCAGTGGCATTGGAATGTGCATAATCATGGTTTAGATGGTTCTGATTTAAGAGTTCTTCGGGATAAACTTTTTAACCAGCTTTCTTGGCTTCGCTCCCGCCCCACGGAGTTCGGCTTAAGTTTAGTAGGGGATTTAAACATTTCGGATGGCGTGCGGGAGTCGGGCTTTCGAGCGTTACGATCTCGCTCGGGCCGGCCGGGGACTCCCTCTGGAGATCGATCTGGCGCCAACTAACGGAGCTCGCGGGCGATAGGCCCTCGATTCCGCGTCCCAAGTCGATCGATGTTTCGTGGGCTCTCCACCCTGGCTGCCATGTCAAAGCTGGCAGTCCCAGAGGACCCATGGTGAACCTGAGGAATGGCACCGCGCGGACGTGAGCGACCACTCGCCTCTGGTGTTTTCTTTGTCTGATCTCCCGCCTTCCTCCTCCCTCTGTCCTGAGCGCCCTCGGCCTCTCCCCCTCCACATCTACTCCGATCCAGTTTTCAGTGATATCGTACGGCAATACGAGCAGCTGATCGATTACTCGACTTGTGAGCCGCCAGAGCGGCTCCGGCTCGCTACTGCGATCAGGCAGCAAGCACGGAAGACCACGCGAGACCTCTCTCTCGCCTTTGAGCCTTTTGCCCTCACCTCAAGAACGATGGTCTCCCGGTCTGTCGCCCGTGCGATCGCTCGGCAATATGTGCAGATGGCGCGAAAGCTCCGTGCCAACCACCCGTGCACGCGGGCCTTCCTGGATATCCGCCCTGGCACCGGCGTCGTGCTTGGCAGCCCCGAGCGCTTCGGCCCCCTGCATGCTGGACTCCAGCGGCAGGAAGCCCAGAACCGCCGGCCTGCGATTGAGCGCGAAGCCGATGCTGCCTCGGAATGCCCTGGGCGCAGACAGCGAGCACTCGGGCGGAAAGCAGCCCAGTCTCGCCGCGCCCAGCTCTGGAATCCGTTCGCTCGCCGTAAGTATCTTGCTGCGGTCACGGTCAGTACTCCAGGCACGGACTCGAATGATCCGAGTCATTCGACGAATGCGGAGTCCACCTTTCAAGCTCTCTCGGACTTCTGGGCGCCGGTGCTCGAGAAGACCACGCCGCTGCCGAGCTGGGCTGAGCGTTTATGTTGAGCGGCTTCGCCCCCCTGGGCTGGACTTCTCGAACCTGCGGCCCCCCCAGCTGCGGGATTTGAAGAACGTCCTCGCATTCGCCCCAACTAGCGCCCCAGGGCTTGACGGCCTGCGCTTTCGAGCGTGGAATGTTGGATGTGGCCCCGAGGTCCTTCATAGCTGTCTTCTCTGTGTCCTTCAAGGTCCCCCGATGCCTCTGTGGTTCTTCTCCTCCTTATCTGTCTCCCTCCCCAGACCCATCTCTGGGGAACCCGACTCTGGCTCTGGAGGAGTCCGCCGCAGTGCCCAAGATACCCGACCTTCGGGCCTCAAAAATACCAGTAACAAAATGGTCGCCGCTATTTTGAACCGGCGCATCACTCCTGCCATCCAGCGTGTAGCTTCGGTGGTGCAGCGCGGTTTTGTCGCAAAGCGGAAATTTGTCAACAATATTGTCGATCTCGACAGTGTTGCTCGTTTAGCTGCCGTCCGTGCCGCGTCTCATCCCTCGCCCCCCTCGGTCCCCCCTCTCTTCTGTCCTTCGACTTTGCCCGGGCTTTTCCATGTGTCTCGCAGGCCTGGATGAAGCTCACAGTCAAAGCGTATAGGATGCCGCGCGGTTTTCTTCTAGCTGTGATTGCCTATTACGCGCTTAATCCGTGCTACTACGATCTAGGCATGACCGTGAGGCTTATTTATTGGATGCATGCTGGAGTGTTACAGGGGCGTCCACTGTCGGGCTCTCTCTTTGCCCTCGCCTCCAACCCCTTTCTCGAAGACCTCGTCGGGAACATCGAGCAGAAGGCTCAAGGTCGCGTGCGTGCATGCGCAGATGGCATCGGCGCTGTCATATGGCACTGTCGCGCATATGCCGTCTTCGCACGTGTCTTTCGTGTCGCGCGCATGTGTGCTTCACTCTATCTGAAGCCCATTAAATGCCTGGCCGCCCCGCTGAACGGCCCCCTGTGCGAGGAGAGCGTTGGCGCGCTCCGATCCGCATTGGCAGCGGCAGATCGCGCATGGCATGTTTTCCGCATCACAGATGAACTTGTGTATCTTGGAGTTTTGCTGGGACCTGCTGCGGCAGACCTGGGCCAGTGGGCCGCGCCACTTTTGCAGTGCCGCGACCGTTCGGTTCAGATTGCGCAGTCTGGTGCCCCGCTGCTACGAGCCGCGGACATGTATCTGTCTCGAGCGCTGCTTGTGCTGTCGTGCAAAAGTCAGCTCTATGTTCTGCCCCGCTCGCATGGCCTGAGAGAGCGATTTATGCTTGCGCGTCTTTGGAGTGTTCCTGGCTGTGCCCTTGCCCATGCCGATTGGTTTGAACTCGAGCGATGGGGATTACCTCGTTTCCCTTGCGCTCTGGAGGCTAACGCGAGTGTTCTGATGAGGTCCGCCCTTGTCACCCTTACCACTTGGCAGGCCAATCTTGCGGAGCTTCGATCGTCTGCCGTGTCCCTTGTGCCTGCCGAGTGGTGGGGGCACACCCGTCTGGCCCCCCCCCGGTGGGCCGCCCCTGCCCTCGTTTGGACCCTTGAGCAAGCCTCCATGG